TTGTTACTATTGTTGTTATTTATAGTTGTTGTTTATAATTTGTGCAATTAACCTCCTTGTGGTTCGACCCCGGTCTTGCCGGGTTATTTATTATTTCGACACTCCTGCACTTGGGAGAAGACATCAATCTTTTGGTCGTGTCAGTAACCTAGAAAGCTCCAATGATATTTAAAATGTAAATCAGCATTGATTATCTCAAAATGCTTTTATCTTTGTTTTTATTATCCTTTTATTGCTTCCAGATTAACAATCAAGATTCAAGATGTTAATTAGACTTTATCTTTGTTGCTAAACCAATTTTTTCTGAATAATAAGATCATGTATTTTAAAAAATTATCCTTTTATTTTTATTGTACATTCATATCGAATATTTTCTTTTAAGAATCCTAAAAACAGATCTTTCACAATGTTGCATATACCTTGCACCGAGAATAAATGGTCTGACTTTAATGAATATATAGTAGTTTTAGAAGAAGAAGAATGTGGTGAAAATAAGATTAGGAAATTCATGAATTTAATAGAACAATATGAATAGGCCTGAAAACCCGCTACAGAAGATTTTGAGACTATAAACATGGATGATGAGCAAATTAAGAGAGAACTAAAAATGGGTAGTTTGATCAACCTGCTACAAGAATATACAAATGTGTTTTTTCCTGATTCTATAAAGATATACTTAGTTTAGATACAAATATTATAGTATATTGGATATCACTTATAAAAGGATACAAGTCAATCAAACAAAAGTTGAGAATCCACCTGGATGTCCTTATTAAAGACAAGATAAAAATTAAGAAACAGTGGAGCACTATATTTTTAAAAGTAGTTAAATATTATTTTTAATAAGAGTATTTTAGCATGCAATACTAATTTTATTAAAATAAATTATAAATAAGTAAGAAATTCATCTAAACAAACCATTGGTTTACAAGTTTTGTATCCTAAAAACCCTGCAATGATTTTAAAAAATAGCTAAAAACATTATTGTGTAAACAACTATTATTATTGTAATAATTTAAGTTACTTATATTTAAATAACATTGCAAAGGAATTTTAATTGTTAAAATTATAAGTATTTTTATGCATGTAGTTATGATGGTAATAATAATAATAATAATAATAATAATGTATTATTATTATTGTTTTATTCATAGTAAAAGACACATCATTGTCAAAAGACAATTGAAATGTTTGATAAAATATAATTTCACTTAAATATAAGTATTATCATTGTCAAAAGACAATTGAAATGTCTGATAAAATATAATTTCACTTAAATATAATAATATTTAAATGAAAATTAACTTTATTATTGTTGTTATACTAAAAATAAACTATAAAAAATCATATAATTTTAAATGGCATTCATGTAATTTAGTTGATATATTTAATTTTAAAAAAAAATTAATTATGAAGCTGGTTTAATTCTATTGATAAACAAGTATTTATTTTCTTTTTTCAAATACTTGCTTAGATGAAAGTTACTATAAAATATAGTTACTTCAAGTTATGATAGAAAACCCTTCTGTTTTGTTCAATTTGATTTCTTAACTCTAACTTATTATTATCTTCAAAATATTCCTATCCTATGATCAGAATGATATTTTTATTAAATAAGTCTTGAATTATTAAGTTATGTTCACATAGAGAATTATTCATCTCCTGGTCAAACGCCGACTTTAAGCAGACAGTCTAGACACGTGGCTTGTTTAAAAGTTGCATTGAAATTACATTCCACGTCGACGACTGCACGAGGGCCAAATAATTTGAAGTCAAGGTCATGACCCTTCGATTTGGTGGTGGTCGTCCTCTGATGACCCTTCGATTTGGTGGTGGTCGTGCTATGGCTATAAAAGACTCCGATGGAGACCAAAAACCCTTGTCGATTAAATCTCTTGCTAAAAATTGCTCCTGAAATGGCCTCAAGATCAGAGATATTAGTCTTCTCAAAGGAACTCACCAAGACAGATGTCAGGAAGAGAATGTCAATCCCAACTAACAAGCTCCCCCATCTCCCTCAATTCCAAGGTGGTGCTTGCCATGCAGTGGTTCTGGAGGTTGAGGATGAGAGAGGGCAAGTGTGGAACATGCGGTGCAGCATTCGCAAGAAGAAATACCTGAAGCCAGTTATTTCAAGCAGCTGGGTAGCATTTGCTCGGAGCAAGAATCTTGGCATTGGTGACAAGATCTTCTTTTACAGGGAGCTGAATGATGAGGACGGACCTTCAGGAGTTAAGTATAAGATCAAAGTGCAGAAAGCAACGAAGGTGTTCGGAGCTATTGTGGGTTATGGATCTCCAGTCCATGCAGCCATTTAAGTACCTAGCTAGCCAGGAGGGATTCTCTTGTCATGAACTTTATCATCCCGGTGAATGTGAAAAGATAATCTATATATGTACTAGACGTTGTTGTTATTATAACTAGTTTCACATATATTATAATTAAAATAAAAATATACCATATTTAAAGAATTTATAATTACTTGACTTAATAAATTTGTTAAATAACAATATTAAACTGCCAAATACTTGCTTGATATCTGAGTTTTGAAAGTGTTACTCAGTTGATGTATCGCTTTTACAACTTTTATGTTAAGTTAATTATTTTCGGTTCATTTAATTTTTATTAAAAGAAATAATCAAATTAAATTTAAAAAAAAATTAAAACCGGTTTAAACTAACCGGTTTCATTTCAATTTGGTTTAGTTTATAAAATAAAAATTGATTTAAACCAGTTTGATTCGGTTTCCTAGTTTTCTCAGTTTTGTATGGTTTTGGCTTAGTTTTATCTCAGTTTGGCTCGGTTTTTTCAATTTTTTGCTTATAAAACCAGAATCGAATCGGTTACTTTTTTAATTTTAATCAGTTTTTTGGTTTTTTCTCACTCCTACCTCCATGTATCAACATGAATTTTAAATATTATATCCTATCTATTCATTATTAGAATATCTTTCAAAATTGAAGTTTAGAACCAATAAAATCATCCAAGTTTTATGCATATTCCTATCCATTCATAATTTCACTACACTTTATGTTTAAATACAATTATCATAAGTATTTAACTCAATTATTAAAAATTTTATTTTCTTTTGTCTTTGGCCGAACCATACACACGAGGAGGAAACATGAGTTTTATTTAATTCTCTGAGATTTTTGTCAATTTAAATAAGAATACTTGACGTACGTGAGCCTACATGAAAGAATAATCCAATATTTAGAAACTAGATTGGAGCAATTAGACTTGTAATGATAAATTGGGAAATATTCATAAAATATAAGGATAATTTGAGTCAAGGAGCTCCAAACTTTGATTTAAGCTGTGAAATTGATAGTCTAAAAGGAAGAATCTCTTAGATGGCATGTCCAAAAATGAAACTATGCTGATGAGCTGTGGCTCGACTGGCATTAATGCTTCCTCTCCTCAAATCAAGTTCCAACCTCTCTTTTGCTAAAGAAGAAGGAGGAGGAGACAAAGCTACCTTCTATATTTAAATTGATTAAAAAAATGCATCTTGAAGGAAAAGAAATCAACAGGGTTCATTGATGGAAACCCCAAAAATCCTCTTGAACGTAAGTGGTAACTGTCAAAATGTTCCTGCTTACTCCAATGGAATATGGAATGTAGCCCATGGAGAAACTATCCTCCAACATTCATTGGTTCGTTTCCATGTTCAATTGCTTGCCATGTTTCTCCTCTCCAGCTCCTTTCACCTTTTTCTCCGTCGATTCCATTTATCACGTTTTACCTCAGAAATCCTGGTAATCATTAACACGATGTATATATTATTAACAGAATATCTTGAATTTTTTTTCTATTATTATGCTTGTTGATTCTGACAGCAAGGGGGAGGGCAGCTGACTAATGGGGTGTGTTTTTTGGTTCCATCGTCTACCAGACAGGTATAGTATTGGGACCAGCTATAATGGGAAAATACTTTAACAATGCATCAAGCAAATTATTCCCACCCTATGAGGAGATCATTATTTCATTGTCAAAGTTTGGTTACGTGCTGTTCGCCTTCCTTGCTGGTGTAAGAATGGACCCAACCTTGATTGGGAAAACAGGAAGAACAGCCTTCATTTTGGGGTTTCTATCGTCCGTCACTGCTTTCATAATCATAGAGTCTACTGGGTTCCTATTTCCTAAAGGATTGAAGACTGTTGGAACGAAAAACGCAAAGGTGATGTTTGCAAGAATATATATGGCTTGTATGATCCAGACCCAATTTGTTGGAGTCAGTTTCATTTTAATGCAGCTGAAGATGATAAACTCACAGCTTGGACACATTGCTCTGGCATCGTCTTTGGTCAATGAATTGTTAAGGCTGGCATTTGGATTTATGTCCGGCTTCCTTTTTACCTTTAAAGTTTCCGAACGGGCTGGAGTTCAGACCATTATTTTTTCCCTTATATTCGTCGTGTTAATTCTAACCCTAATGAAGCGACTCATGTTTCTAGTTGTTAGAATAACACCAGAAGGTCAGCCTGTGAAGGAAATCTATGCTACTGTTACTGTGGCAACGGTATTTTTAATTTCGACATGGGGTGACAGCATAGGCCTAAATTACCTGGTCGGCCCTTTGATACTCGGCTTAGTGCTGCCTGCAAGGTCTCCATTAGCTGAAATCCTGATAGCAAAGTTCGATACAATTGTTTCCGGGTTTCTTCTGCCACTCATGGCAATGCTTTATGCGTCAAAAGTCGATCTGTGGCAAATTATGAAAGAGTTTGACAGTCTTCTCATTTTTAAAATTTCGTTGATAGGATTCACAGTGAAGGTGGCGGCAACTTTTTTTCTAGCGAAGTTTTGCAAGATACCTCCAAGGCATGCCGTTGCCCTCGCTTTGATCTTGAACGCCAAAGGGATCAATGAACTAGGAACGTTAGGCAGCTACAGCACTTTTCGGGTATATGATGATTCTTTTTCACTAATCATCACTTTCTATTAATTTGTATCTAAATATTCTTCCGCATTCTGGTGGTGAAAGGATCAGCACCTAATTACTTGTGCATTCCTTGCCATGAAAGATCTTTAATATGTGTGTGTGTGTGTGTGTGTGTGTGAACATGGAATTGTTGTTTCTCTCATTAAACAGGACCACTAACTCCCTCCCTCCCTCCCTCCTTTAAGGATATTCACTCAACCAGTGGGATTTTATTGATATTTTTGCTCCAAGCGCTTCAGCCACTAGTCAAAATGCTCTACCATCCTGCAGAGCATTACCTGAGCTACAAGAAAATGAGTGTTGAACATGCTTCAGGAGATGAAGAGCTCAAGATACTGACCTGTGCATATAGACAGGAAGATGCCGTTGCAGCAATCAAGCTACTAGAATATTCAAATCCTACACAAGAAAGTCCTTTGTCCATTCATGGACTCTGCCTAGAGGAACTTTTTAGCAGCTTTACACCTCTTTTAATAAACCATCAATTAGGCCAGAAGAACTCTTCTTCCAAAGGATCTCGCTCGCAACCCATCGTCGATATCTTCAGGTACTTGAAGTCAGAACACAAGAAGTCAGTTCAAGTGCAAGTATTCACTGCAATATCACCGCTTAAACAGATGCACGAGGACATATGTTGGCTCTCATTCAACAAGTCGTGTTCCCTGATAGTTCTCCCATTTCATAAGAAATGGAACAGCAAAGGCAAAATGGTTTCAAACAACAATGATTTGAGGAATTTGAACATTAAAGTATTGGAACTGGCCCCTTGTTCTGTAGGAATTCTTATCGATCGCAGTAGAACACACGGCTTATCTTCTATTTTTATCACATCAGCGACATATAGAGTGGCAACAATATTTGTTGGAGGCCCAGATGACAGGGAGGCATTGGCGTATGCCTTAAGGATGGCAAGAAGCCCCAAAGTCCATCTAACAGTAGTGCGTTTCATCGGGCATGATGATCACGCCCATCGAAGGTGGCAGTTTATGATAGACGAAGACCTTCTGAGAAGGCTGAGAACTGCGATGCCAGGAGGTACTGATATAAATTACATTGAGAAGACGGTGAGAGATGGATCTGATACATCTTCCACAATTAAATCAATGGTTGGAGATCATGATCTTATCATGTTAGGACGCCGCGGCCATGGAACTGAGTCTGAAGCTTTATCAGGCCTATCAGAATGGACTGATTTGCCAGAGCTTGGGCCGATAGGGGACCTGCTAGCTTCGGAAGATACCACTTGTCCAGTTTCAGTGTTGGTGGTTCAACAACAAATAAGAAAAGAGAGTCCTAAGATTGCTTGGAAATTCTGGTAGGCAAGTTCCGTACTTGCACCAGGAGGTAAGTAATAGGAAACTGCATAAACCTGAGCACTCCCTCCTCTTTACGCCGATAAAAACGAAAGCATGCTCATAACAGACCCAGACGCATACTTCTTTTTTAATTTATAGTCTAACTCAAGGAGAAGTAGTTATTGCCTCCTTGCTACCTATTTCCCTGCTGTTCATTTTGAATGATTTAATCTCATGGATCAATTTGGTGAGAGGTGGTGGAATGGAGAGTGTTAAGGGAACTATATTAATAAAATCTCCAATGCCTGAAAATTCTATCAAAGAAATATAAAATAGCCAGTACTTGGAGAGGAACATTCACAAAGCTGATAGATAGCTCTTTTAAAACAGTTCTATTGCTGTGCAGGCTGTCCAGTTAAGGCTTCATCAGTCAAGGTCGCTGCAAGAAGCTGTTGAAGATCTTAAATGCACCAACATATATTCTCTAAGAAAGAAGGCAATTTTTCAGTTTAAAGTATAGCTGCAGACAACGGGTTGGTATAGCAGTAAGTGAGCTCCTAATATAGCAATCATCCATGAGATTGAGAGTTTGAATTATCTCTCCCATTGCAGCCAGGAGTTGATGGCGTTCCGGCATCCTCATGCGTCAACATAGCATCCTTGAAAAGATCTTAAGTTTCGAGCTCCAATATTGCTGTCTGTATCAGAGTTCCAGGATGATGACCCTAAAGAAAGTTGACAGCATGGCTAGTGAAAATTTTGAGAACAATTTCTTAAAACATAAACCAAAAGACAGTGGACAATTGAGTGTCTGACATTAATTTTATAGTTCTATTGTTTGTTATGTATGAGAATGATTGTAAAACCACTCTAATTGAACAATGAATGATTCATATCTTCGAACAAGTGTGCTTTGGTTTCAAATTTATCAGAAATATTGTCTTTCACATTTTCATCCTATCAAATCACAGATAAAATGATCTTAATTTGAACCATATCGTCTCACAGTGATGGTAGGACGCAATGGCCCAAATGTCCCTTCCTGCATCATCTGTGAGTCTCCAAGAACATGGTTGGAGAAATCTTTCTCAATAGAAGGATAAGTAATGCAATCATGTTTTGTCTTGTATGTTGGGTTTCTCAACAGATATGAATACCGCGGAAACAGTAATTTTAATGTTTTCTTTTTAAGTTTTATGGATTTGTACGAAGATTACTAAATATAACTTCTATTTATTTATTTTTAGCTCTATTAACTCTCCAAATCTAGATTATTGTCTAATTGATCGGCCTATGATAATAATAGATATGAATTATCAAATAAAAAATTTATTAAACCCCTTTTAGAAGAAAGGAATTGCAATGATCTGAGGGGTAGTTTTTTTTCTTTTCTCTACCGATATAAATATACAGGTGTGTTGTTAATAATGTTGAGAAAAGTAGATAGCAAAGCGGTGGAGATGTGGCCGGAGAAATTTCTAATGGTTTTAATACTATTAGAAAGATTTTGAGGGGCTCAAAATGAATTGGAACCAGAACCAGGAGCAGTGAATGAAGGTGAAAAGTTTGGGCGACGAATCAGTTTTCTTGGGAAGGAATAGTCAGGCCATCAGTTTTCCGAGAGGCAACTCCACCATATTTGGGAAAAACTATTAGAAAATATGATTGTGGAGCACGATTGTCTAGGTCCCAAGGAAAACAAGTTCTGCGGCTGTTTGTAGGTAAGTCAACTGTGGTACAGACCCAAATTCTAGCAAAACATTACACAGTTCTATTTTCATCTACCATGTTCTGTTTCATAAGGTACAGATTGTGACAATCAAATGGGGAATTAGAGGTATCCTCCTTATAAGTTCCGGGCACAAATAGTCCGAGTTCTCACTTTTTGCTCCAACTCATGCTACCAAATACAGAGTTCGCAAATCCATTTGGGCGATGAAAACACCATCCCTGAAAGCCTCAAGCTGAGAAAGCTGAATCTCGGATTGTAAAGTTTCGGATTGTAAAGTTTTCTCAGAGCAAGTTTGACGACAAATCAGCTAATGAAAACAATCAGATAAAAATCACGTTACTCTAATATGGCAGCTCGTGCTAACAACATTCTATGCCAAGTATTGGTCTTGTCTATTCACATGAATTACAGAATACATGATCTACAACGTCAGGAATGGCATCATAATGAAGTTCTTAAAAGCTGCCGCAACTCAAATTTTCCATTTGGTGACCAAAACACAACCTGAAAGAGAAGTTTCCATGCATTTATGATCTCCAAGAAACTATGTAGTATGAGCATCATGTGTCCGTGATGCCCATATGCCAAACACAAGAAACCAGAAGACAAATAAGATAGCCCAGTAGCGAGCAGGTCCATATTTGATTCTGGTCAGCACAACCTGCAAGTTGTAAGAGCATAAACATCAGTCCAGATCATTCATGTATCAGGATCTTACACAAATTTTTTTCCTGTAAGAGTTACCAAGAAAAATAAGAAATGGATTGAGCCAAGATTTTATAAAGAGAATTAGAGCACAGGCAAATTAGGTAAGCTTTTCTTCTCAAATATTTACACTCAAGTCATACAATGCAAATCACATGTTAGTACTTGAATCAATATTATAACCACCATCTTCACCATTATAAACCCCTTTCACACCGAGCATTTATGCAGCGTTGACATTCAATTACTGTCAAAAGCATACTACAAGACCTAATTTCTTAAAATGGTTTGCTATTGCTCAAAAACGAAAGCCTAATTCCTTGCTGCCACAGAACTCCAAAGAATCTAAATTTCAAGCTAATGTTTCATCCTAAACCATCGCAAAGGAAGAACAAATTACAGCCTCACAATGGGCATAAAGCTGCTGGAATCCTCAATATTTATTATTGAACAGAAACTGACAATTTGTATATCTTTCTGTTAGACAATTAGCATTTCCATGCCTATCTGGATTTGGAATTCTAAATATGCCCTTCAGTGCTTTGACTCTAAAATACACAGCAAAAGCCACAAGTTATGACTTATGACCATTAAATAACATACCATTAACAAGAAACCAAGACCAGATTTTACTTTTCAGAACGTATGGAAATTACCCAAAATTATAAAAACACAGGAGCAGCAACTAATTGACCTGAATGAAGATATATTAGGACCATGAAAGACTACGATGCTCCAACAAAGCTCTATATCAAATGATCAACCTAGACTGCAACTTTGAAATTCAGAAATCTGAATTTACTTTCCTTGAATCATTTCTGTCTGCACCACTTTATCAAACAATTTCAGGTTTAGCCATGTGTATCAACACACTCTCAAAGCTGTTATATTGAACAGAAGACCGCCATTCTATAATCCCAGGTTTCTGTGAAACCTGAGGATCATGATTCTTACCATCTGCCTAGGTACTTAGTTTATAGTACCACTAAGAATATGCATTCATAGATCAAGTGCAGTTACGCCAGAATCCATGGTCAGAAACAATAAAAATAAGTTACTTACAAAGCGAAAGAAGACCACGACTGTTAGAGCACAAACACCTCCAAGGAGAATATGAAGACCACTTTTGGCAGTTTTCTGAAGACAGGAGCTGAATAAGTTGCATAAAACACATAATACAACTAACAAAAGTCATTAGAATTCTCTTGCAACCAAAACAAACATCAAATAACTTGCCGGGGCACATACAAAGAATCTAGAGCAACAAACCGATTAGACAATAAAATAGCTCCAAAAATGCCAAGAGAGAAGAATCATCACAAGATCTAACTATCATTTCTTCTCATGTAAATGATAGTATGAATAGAAGAATTTTTATAATTTAACAGTTTAGTGAAGGAGCGAGGATGAATTTGAACTGACCACCTCCCTTTCAAACGAGAGTTGTGCTGCCAGTTTGGTTGTCCCTTAGCCATTGGATTTTCATATGGTGCATGTTGATGACAACTATGTTTCACAGCATACATCCTTATCAAAAAACTTCCTATAGCAATCTCAAGTAATTGTGATTCATTCATTGACATGACAAGAAAGAGAAAAACAAGAAATAAGAATATCCAAATCTCTTATATTAAATGTTATCAAAGTTCCTTCTGTGATGCAATTTCATCTATTTAATAGAGCGCACTTTCCCCCAAAGTGCTACATCAGAATTTTATCAATTTTATCTCAACACCAACACTTTAGAATTCAGAAGAAGAAAAATTGCATAAAAGGCTCGGGTATGATTTTCTGGGTTTCCTTTTCATAGCATCAAAGAGAGAATGCACAGAGATATATTCAACAGACACAAAGAGTCAGTTGTCTAAAGAAGCCGATTATTCCAACTACCAACATCCATGCCAAGTAGACAACAGCACATACTAATTTGGAAAGATTCAACAACCTTGAATAGGAAACACAAAGCATCAAAGCAAAAGTAGCCGGACAATGAAGCATTCAAGGATTCACCAATTCTCCATCCCATTTACCAATAACAAGAATGTTTTTCCTATTCATCCATCTACAAGAAGCCAAATCCTCTAACCATTGGCAGTCCTAAAGGACGATGCTATACTCTGGGGAAGCTCGTGGGCAACAGATGTCCTTCCAAGGAAAGTCTGACCCCAAAATCACTAAATCCCAGCCTTGGTAATATGCTCCTAAAGCCTACACTGCAACTTCCACCCTTCCATCTGACCCCAACCCATTTAAACAGTGTAGAAGGCTCACTATTAATCCAGTTCCCTTATTTCCCATGCTGTCACCCCCCTGGACCCCTTCTTCAATTAAAGCTAGCTCACAAACCCAGCAACCACCTATGATTACTTTGATAAATTTCAAATTCTAGGGAATGCCACCGTCAACACTTATTGTGTGTCATTGAACCAGATCACAAACATTATGCCAGGTAGGCAATGCAGTTGAGAACATAACCAACCTTCCAACTTTAGAATCTAGATAGGCATAATTTCCTAATGCATTGTCTATTACTTGTAATTGCTATCTCCTTCGTAATATCTGAAGGTCTTAACAAAGTTTCTAAGTT